TCTTGAGGCTTAGGTAAAGATTTGAGAATTTTCGGAGTTCGTTTGATAGACGAACGAGAATTTTGAAATAATTGACCGGTTGATGTCGTTTTTAGTTGAATGGGTTGTAGATGGATTTTTGACTTGATATTTGAACCATAGGTCATGTATGTGATGTCGAGACTATGTTTAGAATTTCGTAATTTTCGGACATCGTTTGATATAGATTGAAAATCGAGACGTTAGCCTCATTTCGAGATATTTTTAGAATATTAGCCAGTCATGATTTTAGCTGCAGTTGTGGATTATAGATTCATTATAAATTACATAGAATATATATATTAATTGTCAACCTTAAATGAGTTAGGAATTTTGAGAATCGAACCCTAGTTTTATCCGATTCCGATAACCGGGTATATTTCTCGTATCCGATTTTAAATGATTGAACCCTAGTACCGTTATCCGCCAACCAATCGATGTGGAAGACTTCGCGGAATACCCTAGTTTTATCCGGTTCCGATAACCGGGTATATTTCTGGATCTAATTTTAAATGATTGAACCCTAGTACCGTCTGGATAATTATTAGCCGTCGTATCGTCAATTCGTAATGCGTATCATCGTCTCGCGCACGTGACCGTCCCTCATCCGACCGTTGGAGCCGAACAGCCGAGTGCGTGCCCGTGCACCGAGTCCGAGTCAACCCCCGAGTGCGTGCCCGTGCACCGAGTCCATCCGACTTGCCGTCTACGCGTCGTTCCGTTAGCCGTGGTCCAAGCACGCCCCTGCGTCAGTGACCATGGCACCATTTCAAACTGGTGCATCGGCTAAGCAGTGTCAGTCGAGTTCATGCCGGCCCGAGTTGCCACGCCGAACTCGGACCACGGTCAAACCGAGCTGCACATAGTCAAGCGAATGACCGACCAGCTCCGAGTGAGCTGTCGGTCCAGTTCAGTCGAACCGCTCCGGTCAGTCCGGACGGTTCGAGATATATTTCAGATAAATTCCAGATTCAGTCAGATTAAGATTTCAGATATATTTAAGATTTCAGATATAGTTAAGATTCCAGATAAAGTTAAGATTCCAGATAGCTTAAAGATCCAGATACAGTTTAGATTTTAGTCAGATTAGATTTAAGTCAGATTTTAGTTCCAGACTTAGAAATATTTCAGATAACTCTAGAATGCCTCAAAGACAATAATATTTTCAAAATCAGCTCGTAAATCCCTAAAATGATTTTAAAGCCGAGTGAGCGAACCTAGATATATAAGATATTAAAGATTTGAGTTTTATTCTGAGCTCAGTACTTAGAATACTTCGCTCAATATATTTTGTAGCTTGAAGAGAGTCGAGCCTCCGTCAGCTACCCATTACAGATATATTCAGCTTTCGCTTTCGTCAGTTTCCAGGTGGGGACCACGTACTGTGTATTTCATCGCTTTTAATAATTTACC